CCCTTCCAACTCTGATATTCTATGATTCTATGATTCTATGAAAGTGCCACCAAGGCTAAACAATAAAGTAAAAGCAGAAGTTAGAGGCAAAAAGGCATCCATTAAAAATTAGAAGTAAAATCCTACTGAGGAACATAGAAAGGAGCATAAACTCTGACAAGTTAAGCGTTAAAGTACAATTAGATAGGCCAAAAAAATATTTTGAAGAGCAACTAGCTGAAGGTTTAAAAACTAAACAAAGAAAACTCAAGTACATCAAAAGCAAGAAGCAGGTTTGGGAGGAGAATAGTCTTTCCAAAGGAGCTTCCCCCCAACTGGAAATCCATGCCCTATGCAGAGCACCCAGAGGAGATTCTTGAAAATTCTCCTGTGAGAGAAGTGCTGATAGTCACACAGGAATGTTTGCTAGAGTAGGAAATACAACCCAGATATTCTGGCTTCCAGCTCAGTGTATTCACTACTAGACCAAGAGCCGTTAAAAACTTTTCATTGGAACATGTGTGTTTCAAAAAAAAGAAAATTGGGGAAAAATAAAAACGAAGCATTTCAGTAAGGTCAAAACTTTCCTTTTTGACTGCATTGAAATGGATTTTTTAATCTTTTTCATTTCAAAAAGGGAACAAAATGTTTCAATTTTATCAAATCAGAATATTTTAGTTGACCTGAACATTTTGGAGGAAATTTCAAAATTCTTTGTTTTCGTTTTTTTTAGAAGAAAAAAACTAATTTTACAATAATGGAATTTTCCATGAAATGGAAATTCTGGTTTCTGCCCAGCTCTAACTAAACCATGTTCTCAGCCTCTTTCTTATAGAACCATTTTTTTTATCTGTACCTCGGTGTGTGATGTCTGTTTCCATAACTCTAACTTTCCATTGAAATCAATACAAATTTTAAGTGAACTGTCATTACGAGGCCTTTTTGGTATTCAAAGCTCCTTCTTCAGATCCATGGATTTTTATGTAGAGAAAGAGTGAGCTGGGGGCTGGGTTGGGTATGTGTGAGGATAATGCACATTTTCTCCTTCACTAAAAGAGAGAGTCCCCATAAAACACAATCCTGTTCACAGAATCTTTAGTTTTGTAGCTATTAGTTCTGTTTGGGGTGGTTGCAGACGTGTATTCCACTCAGGTGTGTTTGTGTTCAGTGCACTGGGGCTGGAGATTGTTCCCCTAGCAGTACCTATCAGGGCAACACATGTGCTCAACACCTCCTTTTGGTCCCTCCAGAGGCTATATAAGGGTGGCACTGCCTCGAACCCCCTCAGTTCCTTCTTGATGCCAGGGGCCTTAGTTGGAGCTCCCCGTGCACATTTTCTCTTTGTTTTTTTTCGCTCTGCATCAGGCTGTTTTGCTGAGTTTTTCACTTTCAAAATAGTTTTTAATTGTTGTTTGTGGTAGAACCTACAGTCTAGTTTAGATTTAGTGTAGTTTTTATAGTTAGTCATGTTTTGTGTTGCCCAGCAACAAGGGTTATGCATTGTTCTCTGGGCTTCAGCATTGCCCGTCATGTGGGGTCTCTGTCCACATCAGTGACTCACACACTTGCTGTTTGCTCCACCCAGGAGTGGGTCACATTTCAGAGAGTTGTTGTTCTTTTAAAAAGAGAACACAGATGTCAAGTAAACTTTATCTGAAACAGCAGTTGGTGGAGCAAGCCATAAGGCCTGTATTGGTATCAATACCCTCCACCGCCTGTGGATCTAACCACCCTCAGCTGCCTTCCACCCCTGAAGTGGCAGAGGACAGACCCTGGGACTCTGATTCTCGCTCAAAGAGGGAAGTTGCTCTATGTCTCGGGAACTACCTTGAAAGAGAACCCATGAGACAGATTGGGGAAAGGAAGGATTCATCATCTTCCTCCTCAAAGACAGCCTTGAGGTGTCCACATGATAACCAGGGTTGTACTGGGACAGGAGTTTTCCTGTACCATACTGTTGACTCTGGATGCATCTGGGGGATGGCTGTCAAATCCAGCACCTATAGACACAGGTGTGGCAGCAATGGACTTTTTTTGTTTGTCATGCTAACCTCAGCACTGTCTCAGGAGTCAGAAGGACTATTGATACCATCTGCTATTCCAGGCCCTTCAATTTCTTCAGCATTGGGGCCAACGTGGATGCCATCAACATCCTTGGTACTGGTGATGAAACAGACAATATCTTAAGCATAGGAATTGGGAGAGGACAGTGCCCCCCCCCCCCCCAAGAAATGGGGCACCCATATCCTCTGCAGCGCATCTCAGATTCCTCTCCCTCTATGTGGAAGAAGGGCTCAGACAGCTCTGCAGACCTGCAGTCCCTTACCTGGATCTCAGAGCCCCTCGAACTCCACACTTTTCCCCATTCCACATAAATATCTGTGAGATTAATCTTCCAAACCATAAACCATCATCACAGTAAATTCTTCCAGCTGTCTGGCTATCAATTTCTCTAGCTCTTTTAAAAATTAAGTCATCATGGATTTTGAACAATTTAATTCATTTACTGGGTAATCTTGGATGCATGGTACCAAGGAAAACACTAACAAGAGTTTTAAAGGCTGTAATAATTGTTTTGTTTTGTTTTCCAGATGAAATGAAGAAGGAATTAGGTGAGTGAAGACCTGTGTACACCCTTGCTGGTGTCCCCACTCCCATTGCTTGGATATTTGGAGAGAGGGGCCATTTCTCCTATCTCTCCTCCATCTCCCTGTCTGCTTCTGATGGAGAAGGAGATCCTGACAGTCCATTTTCTTCTCCATCCATATAGGGAATAAAGGTGCTCCAGGCAGACACATTGCAGCTCCCCACACCGCTCACACATACCAGGCAGCATGGGAGATGTGGCCTGATCCCTGTTGTCTGTCTCAGCCTGGGGGGGTGGGACAGACCCACTGTCTCCTTGACAGCCACATATGGGGTCCAAAATACCTCAGTAGCCACAGTTGTAGTGTGACTGATTTAGACTATGTCTGCACAGCAGCTGGGGTGTCTAATTCCCAGTGCAAGTAGACAGACACCTGCCAGCTCTGCTCGAGCTAGTGTGCTAAAAATAGCAGTGTAAGTGCAGTGAGACAAGTAGCAGCTCAGACTAGCTGCCTGAATACATACTGTAGCGGGGTGGTGACCCACTCCAGCCCTGACAGGGTTGGAACCAGCCCTGGGAGAGGGCTGACAGGTTGGGAGAACAGCCCAGGCTGAGTGGGGAAACAGCCGCAGCTGTGGCCACGCCCCAAATGGACTCAGCTGGCCCTATAAAGGGTCTGCTGGGCTGAAACAGTCTCACTCTCTCTCTGTGTTCAGAGAGGGAACGGCCTGGCTGCTGGAAGCTGAGAGAGAGTACCTGAGGGAAGCAGGGCTGGGGAATAGGGCAAGGCAGCTGTAGGGCTCCACCTGGTAAAGCCCCCAGGCTGCGGCCTAGTGTAAGGCCAGACAGGTACTGGGGCTACAGAGGGGTAGCCACGGGTAGGCCAAGGCAGCTGGTCCAACCCCTTTGCCTGTGATTAGTGGCTGATACACTGAAGTCTGCCCTGGGGGCAGCACCCCAGTTAAAGGGGTACTGGGGTCCAGGGAGGGACACAGGGGCCAGAGGACAGGCAGATCACCGGCCTGCAGAGGGCACTCTGGAGCTGAAATGAGCTAATTCCCAGAAGACCAGTAGGAGGCACCACAGGGGTGAGTCCGTGCACCTCTACAGTACCCAGGGGTCAGGTGGAATTGTACTCATGCAGCTAACCTGAGCCAGCGTGGTCACTCTGCTATTGTTAGTGCACTAGCTCAAACAGAACTGGCACATATACGTCCACCCATGCTGGGTATTACACCTCCCCGCTGCAATGTAGACACACATTGTCCTTCTATGTTCTGCCTAGTAGGAGCTGCGTTGCTGTGAATACAGCCTCTGGTGGTTGGAAACACTGTGTGTGTGTGGACGGGAAGGTTAATTTTTTGATCAAGTGAGAGGGGAATGTGCAAGAGGGAGTTAGATCAAAGCCAATGAGAGCAGGTAACATGGGGAGGTGACTCATTGGCTGGAGGTTCAAGACAGACAGAGCAGAGCTCAGACAGAGCAGGACTCCTGCCCTGGTTTCTAATCTTAGCTCAGAACAGCCCACATGTGTGTGACAGAGAGAGAGAGAGTATGACCATTCAAGTGACATTTTTGTCTATATTAACTCCTGCAAAAGGAATCACCCCCTAATGCTTCTGGCATCCTCACTTGCCCTCCGTCTGGAACTTCCCTGCTGCTGGAGGAAGGAAATTTGCAGTCAATGCCTCTCTTAATTCAATGTCTGTTGTTTTCTTACTTTCATTTCAGAATGGAGAAGGGCTCGGAACTATTCAGGTAAGAGAATACACAGCACATGGATAGAGGTGCTGATACTATCATGATAGATGCAGCGTGAGAACCTCAATACATTAAAAGCTATTCCATTATTAAAGAAATCAGCAGGTTTGATACTATAATCAAACTAGAAAAACAGCCTATTCTTATCAGAGACACAGCTCCTAAGGTCCTTCCCAGCTCCTAAATTTAATTTCAAGGCCTGATTCTGACATCATTTACATTAATTTCACACCCATTGTAACTCCCCTGATGTATATGGAGTTACTCCTGAATTACAACAGTCAGTTCAGAATCAGCCCCCAGTGAGAGATTTCCCTGAGTGAGGACTGATGGTGTGATATTCCAAAACACCCTTTTATCTCTGTCTGCTGCCTTTCTTCCCAGGAGCTCCCCCTCTCACTGAGGTCCTTAGCCTTTTATCAATTCCCGGTGCTTCCCTGAGTAATTCACTTCTCCCAGTTACTCAGTGAGGTAACTACTCCCAGGTGAACTTGAGCTTCCTCATGCCCCCTTGTGGAGCCTGTCAGGGGAAGGCTTGTTTTACGAAAGGTAGATCATGCCAAACCAACCTGATCTCCTTCTTTGAGAAAGTAACAGATTTTTTAGATAAAGGAAATGCGGTGAATCTAATATACCTCGATTTCAGTAAAGCGTTTGATATGGTACCGCATGAGGAATTATTGGTTAAATTGGAAGAGATGGGGATCGATATGAAAATCCAGAGCTGGATAAAGAACTGGTTAAATGGGAGACTGCAGCGGGTCGTACTGAAAGGTGAACTGTCAGGTTGGAGGGAGGTTACCAGTGGAGTTCCTCAAGGTTCGGTTTTGGGTCCGATTTTATTTAATCTATTTATTACTGACCTCGGAACCGAATGTAGGAGTGGGCTGATAAAGTTTGCGGATGACACAAAGTTGGGAGGTATTGCCAATTCGGAGAAGGATCGGGATATCCTGCAGGGAGATTTGGATGACCTTGTAAACTGGAGTAATAGTAATAGGATGAAATTTAATAGTGAGAAGTGTAAGGTTATACATTTAGGGATGACTAACAAGAATTTTAGTTATAAGCTGGGGACGCATCGGTTGGAAGTAACGGAAGAGGAGAAGGACCTCGGAGTCCTGGTTGATCACAGGATGACTATGAGTCGGCAATGTGACGTGGCCGTGAAAAAAGCTAATGTGGTCTTGGGATGCATTAGGCAAGGTATTTCTAGTAGGGATAAGGAGGTGCTGGTTCCGTTATACAAGGCACTGGTGAGACATCATTTGGAGTACTGTGTGCAGTTCTGGTCTCCCATGTTTAAAAAGGATGAATTCAAACTGGAACGGGTACAGAGAAGGTCCACTAGGATGATCCAAGGAATGGAAAACCTGTCGTATGAAAGGAGACTCGAGGAGCTCGGTTTGTTTACCTTAACCAAAAGAAGGCTGAGGGGGGATATAATTGCTCTCTTTAAATATATCAGAGGGATAAATACCAGGGAGGGAGAGGAATTATTTCAGCTCAGTACTAATGTGGACACTAGAACAAATGGATATAAACTGGCTGTCGGGAAGTTTAGACTTGAAATTAGACGAAGGTTTCTAACCATCAGAGGGGTGATGTTCTGGAACAGCCTTCCGAGGGAAACAGTGGGGGCGAAAGACCTCTCTGGCTTTAAGATTAAGCTTGATAAGTTTATGGAGGGGATGGTTTGATGGGATAACATGATTTTAGTCAATAAGTCAATAACGTGCCATTGCTGGTAATTAGTAACAACGGTCAATGATGGGATATTAAAAGTTACTACAGAGAACTTTTTCCGGAGGGTCTGGCTGGAGAATCTTGCCCGCATGCTCGGGGTTCAGCTGATCGCCATATTTGGGATCGGGAAGGAATTTTCCTCCAGGGTAGATTAGCAGAGGCCCTGGAGGTTTTTCGCCTTCCTCCGCAGCATGGGGCAGGGGTCGCTTGCTGGAGGATT